CACCTGGCACACAAGACAAAGCTGCCCAAAGGCCCTCCTAGCCATGACTGCCATCTACTCATCAGGCAGCAGTTATGAGTCTAGGAGAACCCGAGGATTGCACACTGGGTCTGTCTAGGATAGTGTTGGTGGAGATTCTCAGTCATCCAAGTCATGATTGTCCCAAAGATGCTTTTGTTTTTCTTTGAAAACATTTTGCTTCTTATCCAAGAAGCTTCTTCACTTCAGACCGGATGGTGGGGAATAGAAGGATTTTGCTATAAGCTCAGATAATTTATAACATTCTGTACTCCAAATCTAAAGTCGTGCTCTCTTCCACTTATTTGTTCACATTTGTTCCAGATTAATAACTCTTTAAAAAAGTCCATTCTACGCTTCTTGAATGATTTGGCTCTCCTAAATTCTATCATAGTCTTGAGGCAGTAGCTCATGTCTAATGATGAATATTGTTGACATTATTAATTTAATGGCTTGGCCTGAGAGCCATTTCTAGGCTTGAGAGGATGAAGTCTTCTAAAGAGAGTTCCCTTTCATCACTGCTAATCTTGCACTGTTGCAGCATACCCCACAGTTCAGCAAATATGATGTAGTTGTGCACTCTTTAGAAGCTAATATTTGTTTAATCAAGTCTGTGTTGACTCTGTAAAGTTTAAGGTGGCGAAGGAAGCAGTAATTACTTGGATGTTCTAGTTCTGTAAGATAAAACTAATGTATTGAGCCAGTTTGTAGATTGTTTTCCAGAAAACCTGCAGGGAAAAAACCCTCTGAATAATTGGGAAAGAAATTGTTTTTAGCGTTTCGCCAGATTTTCTTTTCAGTCCTCAAATAGAATTTTTGGCCTAATTTTTCTGGGCTTCTGTCCCCAAAAGTCATATTAATGAATATTCAGGCTTCCAAACTTTGAAGTAAAATATGTATCTGAATTTGCACCTTTAAAAATGGCTGATTCGTGTTAAAGTGAGTTGGAGAATATTCAGAATATCGGTATGCAAACCGAAGAGACAGAACAGTTTGGCTCACACAAAATTTTGAGCAGAGGTAAATCTGTTACTTTTTCTTTTCTCCATTTAATGTTATTGTAATTATTTTTCTTTTAAATGATTGCAATAAATTACTTGCTTACAATACACAAAATAAAAGGCATTAAAGGATTAGGATTCGTCAATCCTCCTTTATAAAAATGAATACTTTTACATCTATTTAAGATTATTCCTTTTTCTTAAATGATCTGTCTTCTAGGCCAAAACATTTTCTAAGTGGCTGCTTATGCTTTAGCATTATTCTTTTTGATTTATATAATATTTCTTTTTATTCATTCTGTAGTAATACGAGCAGTAACTGCATCATTTACAGAGGCTTTATTCTATTTTGAGAATACTTGATGTATGAAAACAGGAAGGACTCATGGTATTTTATAATTTTTGATTTGACATTTAGTCATCCATAAAATAAAAGCATAATTATACAAAAACACATGAGATCTGTTAGCGTTTTCCATGCACTGTACTTTAGGAATAATAACAGCCATCACATTGTGTTAATAGATGCAGTTCATTTATTTCAGGAAGTAAATCTAAATCAAGAGTAGGGTGGTAGTTTTAAATTAAACTTTTATTTATTTATTTAAGACATTTGTATAGCTGCCTATCTTAAACCGAATTCTGGGTGGCTTACAATGCAGAATTTAAATATATACATAACAAAATCCAGAAACAATAAAACAATTCCAATAAATTTAGCTCAACAATTTAAGACAAGATCCTTTGAAATACGTTTGTCTAATAAGATACAGTACCCTCTGTAATGTTACCGAACATTTAGGGGGAGGATCTTTCTGAATTATAAACTCAGTGTAGAACAGGGGTCCCCAACCCCCAGTCCATGGTCTGGTACCAGGCCACGGCATGCCAGCAACTGATCTGCACAAACAAGCAAAGTCCCATCTGTGGGATGCAGGCAGCACACAAAACCACACACTCTCCGGTCCATAGAAAAACCTTTCTCCATGGCACCAGTCCCTGGTGCTCAAAAGGTTGGGGACCTCTGGTGTAGAAGAACCTACCTTGTCTTGAGATTCTTATGAATAATGAAAGATGAAATGTCCACCGATATTTATGACTTCCTGTCATAAATAATGTTTATCATACTTGATAACCACATAGTGAAGCTTGTTAGTTTACAATTTCATAATTGAGACACAATGTTCTGTATTTGCTGACGTATAAGCCCATCCATAGATAAGCAAGTCTAGAATTTTTAACAAAAATACCATGAAAAAAACGTGCCACCTGCAAATAAGCTGACCTACTATTTTCATGTGGATGGGCTTATATGCAAACATATATTGCAAATACAGGAACTTTTGGAAAGCATTATTGTATCAATATACATGGATTATATTTATAAAATCACAGATAAGCCCATCAGTGGATAAGCTGAACCTTTTTTGGGGGGTGCTGGCATCTAAAATTCTTGGCTTATCCATGAGTAAATATGGTATTTCCAAAACGAACTAACCTCCTTGGTCTATCACATCTAATTATGTAACTTTGGTTAAATGGTTTACATAAAATTATTACCATCATGATGCCTACACATTCTGTCACAGGTGGATGAAATTACAAATGTTACCCATCTTTAGAAAAGCAAGTAAGATTGTGTCATCTGCCTATCTATATAAAACAAATCTTCAAGGCAAATCATCTACTACCCTATTACTTCCATCACATATGGTATTGTATTTTTATGCAAATTAGAGATGTAAGAAATTTGTCTAATTACTTCAAGAATTAATTTGTTTTGGCTTCTCTTATTTGATTTTTGTTTTGTTTGATTGGTAACTGGTTTAAGAGAAAGAAGCCTTAGGCTCCAAGCTGGTCTGGATTTTATGTGACGTCCAATTTCTTTCTGTAAAAAAAAACGCTGACGCATCTTGGACTAGAATTTCAAGGAAAGTCTTTAACTGATATTGTTTCAAAGGTCACACAATGGTTACTTATTATATTTAAGCATACATTTGAGGATTTATTCCTTACTTTATTTCCAGTTTTGCTTCTTCTATATTCTTAGACAAAAATAGTTTGCACGTTCAGATTCAGTAGTCACTTATTTCTGTAATTAAAAGGCTAATCGCATAGAAAAGCTTCCACTTAGTATAACCACTTTTTTGTTGCTCAGTAGATGAAAAAAACTCTTATCCATTTTATGAAACAGTCTACAATTCACTTAAGGTGGTCTTTATAATTTATTGTAAGAAGTCAAAGGCACCTGCTTATTTCATGAAGACTGGACCTTTTTTTCCACTTAGTATAGCCATTAAATAAGACCATGTTTGAGTTGACACTGTAGTGGTTCTGACACAAATGGAGCAAAGTGTGTTGATGGAACAAAATGGAAGGAGTGTAATGCAATAGAATGTATTGTCTATTTCATATAATCATGCCATTCACAGGATGAGATTGTGTGATTTATAAGATTGGTTACTTTTAATTAACAAAACAGTCAGGTGTCAATATATTGTTTTGCAGTTTAAAATAAAATTAGACAGTGTATTTAGAAAAAATAAATCTCTGCCACTTAAAATACTGAATCTCACCTATTAAAGTCTCTGCGACCAGAATGTAATAGAAGCCTTAAGCAGCAGTTGATGGCTTGAAATTTATTCCTTTTTTTTCTTATAAAAGTTCAATAAAATCAGACTAGACTATGAGCAAAAGACACAGAGAAATGCTTAATCCTTTCATTTGAGTTTCTGAATTTGTGTTTCTAGAGTTTTATGCCAGAAGTCCTTTGCAATCTAATTAATTAAGTGTATAATTTTAATTTTGTTGGCTGTAGGTGGAGAAGATACCGCCAGACGCTTGCCATATTAGCTTCAAAAATTTATAATAAAACCAGATTGATTCTATATTAGTCTAAATAGTTAGGCTGCTGAAGAACATATGTATTCATCTAGTAAATAACATATTTGTAATCTGTGTACCATTGAGAGCTTTCTGCGGATAGAGATTTTTTTCAGAAAGCTTCTGCCTTCTCTCACTCTCTTTTTCAAAAGCTATCATCATCATCATCATCATCATCCATTCTTAATAGCATCACATTTTGAAAATCATCCAGGCATGAAGAGACACCTTTTAAAAATAAATTTTGCATATTGATTTTCCTGCTTGATTCACAGAAACACAATAACTGGCTGTTTTTCTTTTTCCCTAAGCAATTCTTTGCCTGGCCCATTAACTACAATGTTCACTGGGACCCTCCGTATAATTTCACTGCAGCATTTTAGCCCAGAAACTATTTACTTTCCTTATCCAGCCACCTTAGTAGTAGTAATTATTGACTTACACAGATGATAGTGATGCCCTGTCAGCTGTTTCTTTCCATTAGAAACTGAGTTCATTCTTCTGCCTTGCCCATTCCTCTGTTGCTTCATAATATTATGGCTGTGAGCATCTTCCTAAACTAGAGGCTCTGAGCTCCCCGCAGTTGGGCAAGGAAGGGGAGAAAGGGAACAAAAAGGAAAGTAGGGGAAGTCGTTATTAATTGAAAAAAAGTTTCCTTTTTTTGCCTTTTTCTCTCCTGCTTAAATAATATAATGATTTATGGGAGCTGTTAGAATTCCAGAGCACTCGGAAGATTTCCAGAGTTCTTCCTTTCTGTTGTAGACCATCTGCTGTGAAAAGGGCGAGTGCAGGCAGAGGAATGCTCATTTCCCCCCCCCCCCCACTACTAGGCAGCTTTTGAGGTATGAACTTTCTTTTCATACAGTATGTGACCTATGAGTTTCAAATAATGCTTTTTAATCTTTCTGGTAGACTTATATGATGTACTGAGATCATTTGTCTCAAAATCTGAGAAATGCTCTTGGATGAATCAACTTGTTTCTTAGATAGGGGAAGCCAGGACTTTGAAATATTCTTAGAGATGTATAAGGTTTCAAAAGAAAACCCTATGTGTTGCAAGATGACAATTTTAAAAGTAATATGTATTTGTTTTTGCAGACTGCATCATCAGCTATCAAAGGTGCCATACAATTGGGAATAGGATACACAGTGGGTAACCTTACATCTAAACCAGACAGAGATGTACTTATGCAAGATTTCTATGTAGTTGAAAGTGTATTTCTTCCCAGGTAAAGGATTATTTATTTATTTATTTCCATGAATATTATTTAGCAGTATTGTTGATTAATTCTGGCGATAATCAGTCTTCCTTCTTGGACTCACCTCACTTTAAAAAACAATCAAAAGAAAACTTGTAAGATTTGCTTGAAATTCCCCTGATCTTTCTGGGCATATATAGATTTTTTTGAACAATTTTGTACCGTATTTTTAGGTATTGCTCACTTCAGAATAAATCAAAATTCATTCTTAAACTTTAGATTATGTTATGGATTAAAGAGAAGACTGGTTTATGAGTGTTTTATTTATTATAATAGATAAAAGAAAGAATTTATGTACAATTAAAATATACTCTGAGAAACGAGATTTTTTTTATTTGATAAGTAATGGCATTGATGTTATATATATGCATCATCCTTGCTTCTCTAAATAGTCAGAATTTGTTTTGAATAAGAAGAGTAATGGGGAATATTAAATGAGAGCAGAACAACAGATTGAATGCTGTTTTATTGCATTTGTGGGAAATAATGGGTGTTTTAGTATGAAGTATCTACATGACGAGATAGTAAAACAACATTTTTGTGAAATCTATACAAAACCAAAATTCCAGTCAGTTCTTCATGTATTTAAGGAAACTCTACCTCAGTGCATGTGTTGTGGTTCCGGCTAATGAAACATTCCAAAGAACTTCCAGGCATTTATTTTCCTAAAAGTTTTTTATTGTTACAAAATGTCGGCACAGGCACAATGGAGGAATGCTAGGATCTAAGTTCTCTTCCTCTGAGCAGTTAAATTATCAGCATGTTCCCTCTCTAAATTAGTCGTCATATCTCACATTATCCAATTAGTGTGAAGGTCAAATGTTTTCTTCCTCTTTCTTTCCCGGGCTTTACCCCTAACACCCCTTCTGCTCTTTATTAACCCCATATTTACCAGACAATTCTGCATATTGTCAAAAGCAAAAATATACAATATTTGCAGCGTTGACATCCGCCCCCCCTTACAAGAAGGACAGATCCTGTAAAGTAAACAAAAGCATCTGTTAAGGGTTATCTTTCGGTTTGTTGGGGTGTTTCATATGAAACCTTTTGACCAATCTGTCTGCTTTCACTTCACTGGATTTTACCCAGGTGGCTTCAGACAATGGGTATCCCTTCCATTGGATTAGGTACTGCAATTTCCCTTTAAAAATTCTAGAATCAAGAATACGTTTTACTTCATAGTGGGTCTGCCCTGCAACTATGAGGGGCCCAGGTGCTTTCTTCGGGGGAGGTCTTAAAGTGGAGCCCCGATAAGGCTTCAACAAGCAACAATGGAAAACTGGGTGAATTTTCCCTAAAAGTCTAGTGAGTTTTAGTTTTACTGTGACCGGGTTGATGATCTTTACTATGGGGAAAGGCCCCAAGAATTTTGGTCCCAATTTCTTGCTGGGCAATTTGAGGTGTAGATATTTAGTTGACAGATAGACCTTTTCCCCAACTTGGAATGTTCTTTGGGGAGCCCTCTTTTTATCAGCCTGCTTTTTATAGGTTTCAAAAGTCTTTTTTAAAGCAGTTTTTGTGTTTTTCCAAACTTCTTCCCACCCTCTCACCCACTGATCAAGTCTCTGGGAAGCAGAGGGCAACTGAGGATATTCAGGTATTGGGTTAAATTCTTTCCCTGTGGCTACTTTGAAAGGCGTGTAGCCGGTGCTGCTGTGCACAGAATTATTGTACACCACCTCCACAAAAGGAAGGAGATCAGTTCAGTTCGTCTGTTGGTAAGAAACGTAGCATCTAAGATATTGTTCCATCATTTTGTTAGCGGCTTCTGCGGCCCCATTGGTGGCCGGATGAAAAGCAGATGATAACCCTTGAGATGATCCAATCAATGTAAGGAAATTTCTCCAAAACTTTGCTGTGAATTGCACCCCCGTCTGAAATTATTTGCTTAGGGGCGCCATGCAGCCGGTAGATATGTTTCAGGAACAGTTTGGCCAGTCGTTGGGCAGATGGGAGTCCTTTGCAGGCGATGAAATGAGCCTGTTTTGAGAACAGGTCTATTACAATCCAGATGACAGTATTTCCCCTACTTTCAGGTAGGTCTACTATAAAGTCCATAGCTATTTCTTCCCAGGGTTGAGAAGGGTCTGCCACGGGTTGCAGTAACCCAGGAGTTTTCCCCGGGATTCTTTTCATTGTGGCACATACAGTACAACTTTTTACATAGTTTTCCACATCTTTTTTCAGCCCCGGCCACCAGAATTGCCGGCGGGTGAGTGTAGGGTTTTCAAATATCCAAAGTGTCCAGCCTGCTTTACATCATAGCTGTGTTTGAGAGCATTAAGACGGAGCGCTTCTGGCAAATATAGCTTCCCCCCTTTGTAAGCCAAGCCATCCCTGCATGTTAGGGACGCTTGATTATCCTTGAACCATTGGTCGGTGAGGAGCTCTCGTTTTATTTTCTTCGCTCCAGGGTCATCAGGATTGGGGACCCTGTGAGGTGTAAGTTGAGCGACAGTTTATAAATTGGGAATAATCGCCTCGTTAACCTGCTCTTGTTTGCTTTTGTACTGGAGTAACCGGGATAGCGCATCAGCTAGGAAGTTCTTTCCTCCTGGTATGTACTTTAGAGTGAAGTTGAAGCGGTTAAAGTACTGTGCCCACCGTACTTGCTTTGGTGACAATTTGCGAGGAGTTTTCAGTGCTTCTAGGTTTTTGTGATCTGTCCATACCTCAAATGGCACTTCGCTTCCTTCCAGATAGTGTCGCCAGTTTAATAGCGCCCATCTAATCGCGAAGGCCTCATTCTCCCAGATTGCCCATCTTCGCTCACTCTCAGTAAATTTCTTAGAGGTATAGGCACAGGGTTGCAGGATCCCATTTTTGTTCTTTTGCAGTAACACAGCTCGAACTGCCACATTGCTGGCATCAGCTTGAATCACAAAGAGTTCCCCTCAAAGGTTGCATTGAAAGGTGGTGTGAACACAGGCTGTTGTGGCCCCCACTGGGGCTGGTTCCACGGCTGCTGGGCTCTCTGCTGCTGGCCAGCGGGGTTTGATGGTGCCCCCTGCTGCTGTAGGCCTCCCAATGGTGGCTGCACAAGTGGGGGTTGTAGTGGTCTTTTCTGCTGTTGGACTGCAGGGGGTGGTGACGCCCTCTGCTGCTGCTGATCATTCATCTGCTGGGGAAACCCATCTACCCATTGCTGCAGATGCCTCAGGCTGGAACTCCCCTTCTCTTCAGGATTGGGGTCCCTGGCCGGTAAAGGCAGGATCTGACAGGCTTCCTGCTGGGCTCCCCACTGCTCTTGTGGCCCCCCCCCAGTTGCTGTAGGCCCCAACCTGGCTGCAGATTTATGCCCAGGGGTTGCACGTTTGGGGGCTGTGGCCAACCTGCTTGCTGTGGCTGTTCTCCCAACAGCTGCTGATCTCCTGGCTTCTGTACCATCCCAAGGCATTGCAAGGCCTCTATTAGCTGTGGTAAGTTCAGAGGACATGGATCAGCCACCTCATGGGAAACCCAATCTCCCCATTGCTGCAGAGGATTCAGACTGGGATTCTCTCTCTCTTCTGGGCTGGAGTCCCTGGCAGGAACATCTGCAATGAAAGGGCTGTAGGTTTCACTTTGTAGGAACTGATTTCTGGTTTTCATTTCTGAGTTTTGAAATCTTTCCAATGACTCACTCATAACTGTGTTATCTGTCCATTCTGCCTTTGAAGTCTTCACTCTCAGCTGGGAAATCTGCCAAATTCCTCTCTCCCCTGGCTTGTTGGCTGTCGCTCCCCCCCCCCCCCAGGAAACTGTTGCAGCCACGGGGCTGGCCTCAGACAATCTTTCTTTCTCCATAATGAGACCTTCCCCGAATCTTTACCAGCTCCTCTCAAGCATAGAGATAGCGGATGGGGCTCGGGACCCCAAGTCGTTTGAAAAGAATGTGAGATCCTAGCATGATGTTGTGGTTCCGGCTAATGAAACATTCCAAAGAACTTCCAGGCATTTATTTTCTAAAAGTCTTTATTGTTACAAAATGTCGGTACAGGCACAACGGAGGGATGCTAGGATCTAAGTTCTCTTCCTCTGAGCAGTTAAATTATCAGCATGTTCCCTCCCTAAAGTAGCCGTCATATCTCACATTATCCAATTAATGTGAAGGTCAAATGTTTTCTTCCTCTTTCTTTTCCGGGCTTTACCCCCAACGCCCCTTCTGCTCTTTATTAACCCCATATTTACCAGACAATTCTGCATATTGTCAAAAGCAAGAATATACAATATTTGCAGCGTTGACAGCATGTTTGTGAAGAGTATATTATTTCACATTATTTAGATTTTTCAATTAATATGTTAATCTTAGAGACTGTTGTTTAATTCCAAAGAAAATGTAATGAAGGTTTCAAGTAAATGGCATATATAAGTATAGATATTTAGCACATTGACTGGTAGTCATTATGACACAAGAGTATGGCTGAATACTTGCTTAGGTTGCAGTTGGTATGTTTTTAAGTGATAGCTCTTCTTCATGGAGAAGTGTCACAGATTAATTCAGAAATAGGTTTTATCTCCTGTTTGAAGAAAATAGGGAAAATATAGCAATAGAAGAAATAGAATCTTTGTAATAAAAGATGAAATTACACCCTAGAGCACGGGTGTCAAACTTGCTGTGTGATGTGACGTGTCGTGACGTATTATGACTTTTTTCATATTGCTGGAGCTGGGGTGGGCACGGTCTCCACATGATGCAACCGGCCCATGGGCCGGCAGTTTGACAACCCTGCTCTAGAGGTTCAACAACTGGTATCACATTCAGTGTTCTTCTCTTGAAAGGCCTTTTCCGAGCAGGATTTGATAAGTAATAATTTTTGAAATCAGTCACCTGCAGATGTAAAAAATTCAACAGCTCAAATAACTTAAAATAATGATTGCCAATGCAGAGATATTTGGATTTCCTGAGGAAAGCAACATTAAATTACAAGAATTAATCGTAAAAATACAGTATGTTTCACATTTTGTACCTTTAAGGTGATTTAGATTATAGATGTTTATTAATCTCTTTATTTTGAAGTCAAGTAGCTAAAAAATGCTTATTCTCTTAGTCCTTTGTTCAAAAACTGCAGCTTTCCCATTATAAATGCCTATTGCTTGGCAAGACAATATAATCACTGTTAACATTCTAGGAAGGTGTACATTACAGTCTTGTAGATTTCTTGATGCCAGAATTCAAACCTAAAGTGATCTTGGGGATTGACACTTGGATTTGCTGGGTTTCTGGGTATAAGAGTTTATGATTCTAAATGCAGCTTTTGGAACAAAAAGTAGGGTTTTAGAGCAGTTCAGAGAAGCAGCTAAATCCTCTAAGGTGTTACATATCAAGCTAAACTAGAGTGTGATTTGTTTGCTTTTGACTTTCTGGGGTTTTTGAGCCCACTTGCTTAAAAAGAAACATAACAAGAAGCCACAGGTAACATAACACAACAGATAAACTGGGCTGCTTTAATAGTATAACGTATGACTCTTTGTAGAGTTTTCCTACAACATTTGTATCATAATGCAGATTAAATTAATTTTATTGCTAAATTTTCCTGAGTTTTGAAACTTTAAACAAATTTGTATTGACAATCATTGTTTACTTAAATAATTAACATTTTCTTCTGTAATGTCAGTAAAAGCTAGAAATAGTAAATAGTTTTATCCAGAAAAATATATAACTAAGAACTAAATGCAGAACAGAACTTCGGCTGGCTACATGAACAATGGCTCAGCTAGGTTGCTTTGCTTAGGAACAATGCATATGAAGTTTCAAAGTTGCCATTTTGAAAAGTTAATTATAACTTGGTGGCAACTTTTGGGAACGTTTTGGAAGCCACACTATTGGCCTTGAGAGGGCATAGGTTGTGTTGCAGATTATAGGCTGTGAATTCTTATTATGTAGTTTAGTTCTTCTCGGGAAAAATAGAAAAGAGGCTTTAAAATAAAATAATTGATTAAAAACACTCAGAAACAATTAAAGAGAGTATAAATCAGAAATTATGAAAAAACAAAATGAAAAATAAATTCAATTTGATGCTTTTCAAGACATTTTGATAGTATATTGACAAGGGCTATTCCTCTTTTATGCTTCAAACTTCTAATCTGTATCAATTTTAATGAAGTACATAAAGTATTTTAGAGAAATGTTATTTGGAGGCTGATGTTAATAATTAACATTTGATGAAGATGTTAGTTGCCTGAAACACAGTATAATCCTGTACATCTTTAAAGGCATTGTTTTCTTCAAGAAGAATATTGGAAGAAAAGGAGCCAAAACATTGATTGATTGATTGATTTTTTAATAGATAGATAGATAGATAGATAGATAGATAGATAGATAGATAGATAGATAGATCTTCATATTCTGTTATGTTAGTTCATTCTTCAGTCAACAGAAGAGTCTGAAAAGGCTCCTATTTTTAATAAAATTAAAGTTAAGATGTATATATTGTAAATGCATGTGTGCAGACATAATATTTTAAATTTCTCTTTCAACTCAGTGAAGGAAGCAATCTGACTCCTGCTCATCATTATCCAGACTTTAGATTTAAGACCTATGCTCCGCTAGCTTTCCGTTACTTCAGAGAACTTTTTGGTATTAAGCCTGATGACTACTTGGTAAGACTTATTCCTTTTTTCTCCCCCACAGAGTATAGGGAACCTAAAAGCTCTTTCTGCCTCTGAACCAGTACCCATCAGTTACTTTGATTTGTGATTGGATTGAGCAATGCACCTGACGTTATAGTGGAGAGAATTGTTCAGTATTATTTGCTTTGATTCAAACACCAAATTCCACTCATCTGTGTATCTATTTTTAATGGAGAAAGGGTAGCAATAATTCTTTAAATTATAGCAGATATGTCAAACTTGCGCCATCACGTGACATTGCGCAACATATCGGACCTTTTTCGCAATTGTCAGCAATGGGATGGGCGTGGTTTCCCGATGACATGTCTGGCCCGTTGGGCCAGCAGTTTGACACCCCTGCTCTATAGGAGTACTTTCAGATTGGGTCAGGCAAAGATTCCTACATTATCAAGATGTTTTGAAGTGCATACATTTAGTTGTTAGTTAATTGTTTCCATTTTCAGCTTTTAATTGCTTGTCCTAAAATTTGATTTATTAATTGATAGTTCACCAACTGTGAGCTGTGGCTGTACTCAAGTCATTATTTCTACTAGAAATACTATAATTGAACTTAAATACCCTGTGGGTTTTGCTGATTGAATTTTGGTGAAGAGATATAATTCATTAATTTCCTTATAATTGTCTAACAACGTGTATAAATACATGCTTCCTTAGGGAAACATAACCTTTATATAGGAAATTAAGCAACTTATAGAATGTCCTTTCAAACATGCATAGAGCAAAATGTAACAGAGTAAATCAAAGAACTGCTGCCATAAGATCCCTATTGAATGCTTATTATTCTGAGTAGTTAGAAGAGCTGTAGTATATTTCAGTATTGCATTGTGCAGTGTGCAACCTTTTCCCTTTTATACTCAATGTGGCACTTAATAGCGTAGCATAAAATTCAAAACCTGTCGAAATGATAAAAAAGATGTTTTCTTATCAGTAAGTTACTGTTGGCAAAACCTCTGACTCTTATCTTTCCCAAGTCATTTCCCCCCCCTTTTTATATAGTTTTCAATAGAATAAAAATGTAATGCATCATTAAGTAACATAAATATACTTTGTTAAGTGCATTAATAGGTAAAAAAACATATCTATTTGCAGTGTTAAAACATAATTCAATAGGATGTGACAAGCAGGAAAGGCTTTAAAGTGCTGATCTTACATATTCCTCTCTTCCCTTTTGTTCTCCTATGAGAACAATAGAAAGAGCAAAGTTTAATTCACTTTTAGCTGTACCATATGCCAAATTTGTAAGTACATATAGCTGAAGAATTTCATTTTTTAAAAAAATTCTAGACTGTTCAGCCAATGACAAAACTTTTTTCTCGATTTCTTCAGGGTGGTTTGTGATTTATTTTTCATCATGATTCTTGCTAACAAGAAGCCAGAAATCTGCCAGAATAAGATTCCCCTTAACTGAGGTTTTAGTTGTATCAGAGGAATCATTGGACAACCCTGCAATCATCAATGTGTGCTCATTTTTGGTAAAGCACTGTGCAAAAAAAAATAATATTTATTCAATCTGAAATAAAAACCAGTGCTTAAGCAACATTGATGGCTGCTATTACCATACCTGAGCCTAAGCAATTCTTTTGACAAGGAGATTTTTCTCAAACCATAAAATATGCCAGGTGCACCCTTTATATATTGAGTGTAGAGTTTAATTTTTGATGACATCTTTTGACTTCTCATTGTGCTTTTTTTTAAATCTGTCCCTTGAGATCTTCTTTACTTTTCATAAATGGTGTACACCTGGGGATATGCAATTTATTAAAGAGAGGCAATATTTTGTATAGAAACATTATCTTGTGAGAAGCTGATTTCTTCCTTTCAGGTTTATCAAACGTATCAGTTCCTCAGATAAAAAAGATATAATGAAGTTAACGTTTTAAAATACGTTAGGAAGTATTCATAACTAGGAATACTGTTTAATATTCCAAAAATATAAAGCAGCTAAAATCAAGGAAATTGGCAGTCCAGAGAGTGTTCTAAACATGATATACCATTAATTTTTTCTTTTATTTGTTCACATTAACCTATATTCTTTGTGATAAGTTAATCAATTTATTCTTAAGTTATGCATCCCAACTATTTATATTGCTTTAATTTCTGTTGAAGTATAATTTATCTTTGTCTTTTACAAAAAGTGCTAATGAGAAAAAAATAGGACTAATTGAGGATGTGTTTTGACCTGAGTTTTTATAGTACCAGACACAGAGGATTAAATCTCTGTTTTTAACCACAAATTAACCTCAAAAACATGGACTTGAAACATAACTAAAGATATTTGCCCAGAAAGATATTACTTAATTCTACTTTATCATATTGTTAGATTTTTCAGGGCAAAGTCTCTAGGTTTTGACTCACTTGATTAACCAGGAGAGTTTTTAGTAGGTCAGCATTGCATGGATTCTATTGCAGACAAGAGGAATTGTGTAAGACAACATATATTTTCTTGCGACTTTCGTTTGTATATTTCAATAATTTATGCAAAAAAGAAATGCCACCAGAGTAGCCTTTTCAGTCAACACCAATAACACTTAGTGTTCTAAAAGTTGTATCAGAAATGGCATATCATGTCGTGAAGAAAACATTATCACTGTTTCTTTTCTTTTTTAAAAAAAATTAGACCTTACACAGTTGAGTAGTCTGGGTAGTTTCAAGGACCTTGGTACACAAAGGTCTCCTTGGCTTCCTTTCATAAAATACTTAAAAACGTATTTCTATATATCCATCCTGCAAAATGGCATTAAATTTCTGTTTGTGTATTCAGTATTCAATTTGCAGTGAACCATTAATAGAATTATCGAATCCTGGTGCCAGTGGATCCTTGTTCTTTGTCACTAGTGATGATGAATTCATAATCAAAACAGTTCAACACAAAGAAGCAGAATTCCTTCAGAAACTGTTGCCTGGCTACTACATGGTAAAGATACTCAAGCCCCTTTTTAATTTGGTTTCTCTGTGTGCATGTAGATATGTTTAACTCCCTTGTTCAACTCTTGCTTATGTTCTTATGAATGTTAAAAATGTCCTTTTCTCTCCAAGTTTGTGTTCCTATTATATTGCATGTAATAAATGGGAGAAGTTAAAAAATAAATTTGAGGTTAATAGACAAACTTTCGTTAATAAGTGGAATAATTGATCATGATACCGATAAGATATCCTATTTTATCTTGTTTCATTGATAAATCATTTACCTCCAAAGGAGCAAATTATAAGTTTGACTTATTAGTTATAACTTTTATTTTCTCTGTTTCAAAGCTTAACACAGTTTCCTTCCTTCAGTTTTTAGGTATGAAAAATCTTTTTACAAGCCAAAAATTGATTGCAATATTGTATTTACTGCAGATTGATAACTGGTCTATGAGAACCTATGCAAAATTTGCTTTATGGCTGTCTTAGATATAGATAAATATACAAGGGCAATTCAGAAATAAACCTCCATTTGGTTATCAATGAGAGACACAGATACAGAACTTTTATTATACACATTAGAAAACTACAATGTTACATTGCTTTTCGACATAATCATTCAAATTGAGGCACTTACAAGGTTTGAAATTCCTTAGTAGTAGTCGCTTAGCACCAAATCTGGGGTGATCAAAACATCCCAACGGAACTGCTTCAAAAGTTCTTGGGTGCGTCTAGCGGTGTGCGGGCAAGCATTATCATGAACCAACACCACACTGGAAGTCAGCATGCCCCGACGCTTCTTATGGATGGCTTGTCTGAATTTTTGTAACATTTCACAGTAGACTTCTGAATTGATGGTCGAATCATGCTCCATGAACTTCACTTGCAGTACTCCTTTGGCATCTTCACATTTGGTGGGGTTATCTATTGCACCACTTCCAGTGTGATATTGGTGTTGGCGCCGAGCGACTACTACTAAGAAATTTCAAACCTTGTAAGACGCTCTGACAAATGCCTCAGTTTGAATGGCGATTATGTCAAAAAGTAATATAATGTTGTAATTTTCTAATGTGTGTAATAAAAGTTCAGTATCTGTGAGTGTCTGTCATTGATAACCAAACTGAGGTTTATTTCCAAATTGCCCTCATAACATAAACAGCTATATTGTATTACTTTCCCTTCTTGTTAACTGAATTTGCCTTTAAATCAGGATTTGAAGCTAACAAGAGGAAAATATGATTATTTTTCATTCTAATTAATATACTGCTCAAGTAATACTTAGCTACAGCCCAATAGTCTACATCAAGGCAGATTCCAAGAAGGAGGAGGAAACACATGTTGTTTACTCCAGATGTTAGTTCTTAAGCTTTTAAGCGTGTTCTTCTTCTTACAGGTCCTTTCCAGGCAGGCTTACGAATTTGATACAAAACTTTGGAGTCTTTTTTTTTTTTTTAATTCAGTGGTGGAGTAGTGTGCTTGAGGGCAGAAGACTCCTGTGTAAAACTGATTTCTCTGCTCACTCTGTGGAGAGAGAGAGATATATAAAGGGAGAGAGGAGAGGTATAAGAAGAAAATCGTGAGTGGGGAAACAGATTTGTAGGACTAGACAGGAAGGGAAAAAGAAGATGAACTGTAATTATTATCTTAGGAGGTTGCCTGCAGAAGGAGTGCCAGAAGCAATTTACATTCAGTGTTTTGCAAGCTGTAGTATTTTAAAAAGCAGTTTAAAAGAAGCTAATTTAGGGCAAGAAACTTCCTGTTTTTTTTTCCTTCCCACTTTGATTTAATGAGAGTGACTGTTTTCAGAATGAAGCCCAGATTTTATGAATTAATGGCAAGTCTATCATAACCACTAAAATGGTTTTAAACATTATTGAGGGAGATTTTTTAACTTAGTCCCAATGAAGTGATTTCATCTTGTAAGGATCTGTTATTGTTTGAATTGGTACAAAGATTAGAATTAAATTATTAAAATGGTATCTTTATTTCTACTCCAACCCTTATATAGAATTAATCATTAATTTTATTTGAAAAGGTTGCATAAATTTAATTTTTAATTTTAGTACGCCTAGTATTGCAAAGTTTGAGGAATCTGCCTTAGTCCAAAGAGTTCAACCAGCTAACTAAAGTTTAGAATGTTTGAGTTAGCACATGGACACTTTTTAGTGGTGGGTCCAAAAATGATTTGTTGAAAGAGAAACGATTTTCCTGTCTATATTTACTTTTGTGTAGAACTCTGATCTCGGTTATACTTTACAGCAGGAGTGTCCAATCTTGGTAACTTTAAGACCTATGGGCTACAGCTCCCAAAATTGGCTGGCTGGGGAATTCTGGGAGTTGAATTCCTCAAGTCTTAAAATTGCAAAGGATGGACGCTGCTGTGTTACAATACTGCAAATGTTCATTGATATATTTTGTGTTTCTTTTAAGAATCTCAACCAGAACCCAAGGACGCTGTTGCCCAAATTTTATGGCCTGTATTGTGTTCAGTCAGGGGGTATTAATATCAGGATAGTTGTGATGAACAATATTCTGCCTCGAGCACTGAAAATGCACTACAACTATGACTTGAAAGGCTCTACATACAAAAGAAGAGCATCCCGAAAAGAACGAGAGAAGTCTAACCCCACATTTAAAGACTTGGATTTCTTGCAAGAGTTGCATGAAGGATTATATTTTGACTCCGAAACCTATAGCGCATTGATGAAAACACTACAAAGGGATTGCCGAGTAAGTGAAAAGTTTTGAGTTCAATCTCTATAATCAGGCCATAATTCTCTTGTTAACAAGACATTGTACAAACATTGTAAGAAGATGGATTGTCCTGTAGTTTATAAAACCTATGCCATTATTGAATAGTGTATTTGGTGTCTTCAAAATAGAATACACCTGGAGTGGCCTTCAAATTAAACTACAATTTATTTACTTTTATTTTATTTTATTCCTATATTGATGTTTTTTATTATTCCCTAAGACTGTACATCATTTGTCTTGTGCTGCAAATTAGTTCACACCAAATGAAGAGTAAATCCCATTAAATTCAATTATTTATGAACAGACATAGATAAAAATGCGCTTTTATTTAGTTTTTTGGTATGGATTAAGATCCGTGTACTCAAGGTCTGTTGCCTTTTTTAGTTAGCTGTTTGGTTACTTTTTTGAGACCAGATATTTTTACAGACATTATTTGTTGCATTACATATTATTATTGATTATAATACTACTTCTCTGTCTTGTCAAGACATAAAAATAGTATGTCTTCATTTTTTGTCTTCTTTCCATCCCAGGTTTTTACAGTAGGAATGTCCTATTTCTTTCATCTGTCAGTCTCTTATTTCTTTTGAATCTTCTCATATCCTGCCACACAGTTCTTTGCCCCATACATAATGTTATATTCTCTTGTGCCTTAAGGCATTTATTTCCATTTTACTGCATTTCTGGTTTTTTTTTTCAGAAGCAGAATTATTTCTGTTTTAAATTTTGAGTACACAATGAAAAATTAAAAATCTTGTTATAAATTAGCTTATATAGATTCTATGTAGTATTGAAGTTATGCAGATGTATGGATGTATATACTTATTAATAGGTTTATTTAAAAAATTGGGAGTAATTTCAAATAAAATGTGTTAAGATGTTAACAAATAGAATAAATCAAACATAAAATGCATATTATTTAAGAAAATTGAGGGAAAATTATTTTTGTTTAGCAAAAAAAAAATTGAAGCAAGTCTGTTGGTGTACAATGTAGTAGCCCAGTCCCAGCCACAGTTAAAAGTAGATTTTTTTTCTTATTTCTGAGGTGGGATTATGAAAAAAAGGTATTGACATACTGTTTAATTGTTTTTGGAAGATATACAGGCATAATTTTATATATACAATAAATTGTTTGTATAAAGATCTATGAACAAAAAATCTAAAGGCAATTATTTTGTATATGTTTCTATTGAACTTTTCACAGAAAATGGCAGTGTTTTTTCATAAAAAAATCTAGATGCTTAAATACTCTCTTGCTTTTACAAATTTAGATTAATCAATTCATTAATGGGCATGAAATTTACTTACATTTTACATTTTTTTCCTGTGGAAGAGACAGAACCTTAAGAGTCTGCAAAATACTTGGGCAAAGTGTATCTCTGACTTGCCAAACAAAAAGCAAATTTAGCTTCACATATTACATTCTTTACAAAGAAAACACTTTCCTTGGAATTAACATGAAGCCCATCACAACATTAATTATGGATGTGTGTGTACCCATGTATTTGTGGTTGTGTTGAAAATAGAAACTTGCTTATGAACATCAGTACTTCAGAGAAATAGGGCTGTGTGTGTAACAGGTATTAGATTTTAGATTCAGTTCTGAATGCTTGCAGATGCCTAAAACTAATGTGGAGTAATTTATGAAAGTGATGATGGTTCACAAAGATGATTGGACTCTTGAATGCCCATGGCATTGTGATAAAATAAAACATGATGGCAGCCTCTTGGAGCTGAAAGAATTTAATATGGTTCTATTGGTTAAAAACTGTCTGAGAAAATAATGTGTTTGAAATGCAGTTATAGAGGCAAAGAGGCACCACTTCTAGCAAAGTCCCATGCTTATTAGCACACTGTAGTATTGTGTCAAGTCTTATTAGTGAACATGAAGTCACCTTTTGTTCGGAAATCGAGCGTGAAGTTGATGATCTAATAATCAGCTGCAAGCTCATCAGATGTTCTTCCTAACAAAGGACATTGTTTGTCACTGTAGTTTCTGGAAAGAAATATTCCATGAACTCAGGCAATTAGTGATTATGTGGAATGCATAGGAGTGTCTATTCTGGGAAGACATACAGTATATCAATACTCTCTTATAAAGGTCAAAAGGCTAATTGCAGTATAGAAATTATGCTTAATTTTTAAAATGTTTAAAAAGTCCCTTACGCTAAAAATAAACTATTTTAAGTGATGTAAAATGTGGATTCCTAAAATATATTCATTTTAAAAGGTTGCATATTGAAAAAAATATATTTTAAGGGAGCCACCCAGTGCCTGTTGAAGTAGGATATAAATTATATGATGAACACTTATTCAAAATGTATTTTCTGTTTTCACTATTTGGATATTTTTGAGTCATTCTTCTTTTAATTCCTAAAATGTTAGGAGGACAAGCAAGTCTAATGTTTTCAAATATAGGAGTTGTGCTGTAGTATATAAGTGATCTTCTATAAATTTCAGCTGGTGCAAAACACAGTGGCATGAGCAAGATATGTATGCATTACACCTCTGCTTCGTGAGCTGCACTAGTTACCAGTTTGTTTCCTGATCCAATTCAAGGTGTTGGTGTTGATCTTTAAAGCCCTTCATGGCATGAAATCAGGTTATTTGAGGGACTTCCTCATCTCGATTTTATTTACCTGTCAGATCCAGCAGAGATCAGATCAGATCCAGTATTATAGGTTCTGTCACCTAGGAAGCTACATTTAGTAGGCCTAGGTGGTGGGTCTTTTCTGCCCTGTTGTTCCCACTCATTGTTGGACTTTTAGAAGTCCTTTAAGACTTGGCTATGCCAGCGGAACTAATGATCTGGTTGTGCTATTTTTAACATCCCTTTTTTCTATTATTCTTTGTTTTATCTTGGTTTTTATAGTTTTAATGTATTTATTAATTGCTTTTAGCTTTGTTGTATGCTGCCTAAAGTTGCTTGTTTGTGAGATATAAATTGGTTTAATAAATAATAATAAAATAAATGGATTTAAGTGTATTGAGTTAATTTAGATGCCCATGCTATTTTACAATACCTGACAGGATTGTATCCTAAAATGTAGGGTGTAAATCATTGTGCTACTAGTAAAATATAAAGAAAATGTATTTTGTTTATTCATTTATTCATTATATAGTGATCCCATAGAGTTCTTAGGTTCCATGTTGGAATTTAAATAGCAATAGATGGATTTCTGGAGATGCTGCCTTAATTTAGAAAGGGGCCCCCAATCCCCAGTCCATGGACCGGCACCAGGTCACCTCAAAGCCCCATCAGTGGGATGCAGGCAACATGTGAAACCATGCCCCCACTGAGCCACAGAAAAGCCTGTCTTCACAGAATCAATCCCTGGTGCCCAAACGGTTTGGGGCCACTGATTTAGAAGAAGTATTCTCTTTTATTAACAAGGTAATATTTGCAAACTATAAGAATCTTAACAAAACTAGTTATCATCATTAGAGATTCATGTTGTTTGGTGAAGGGTCTTTCTAATTTTCAATGACATTTCCTGTTGTTGGTATTTCCAATACTTTTATAGGATGACCCTGACCATATATCATTGTATATTTTCTCTTAATGATAATTTCCTATTCGTCTTAATGCTTACCCCATGATCCTGTTGAAAATTATCTCTGGACAGTTGGAAATCTTCCCAGTTAGAATGGACTACATAATGACATTCAGAGGGCTGTGGAGAAGGCTTGAAATAAGGTGTTATGTAGCACCATGCAAAAACTAATTTACAGATTAGTCTATAAAAATTACTGGTTTACAAACTTTTTATTTGTAATTTATGTGCCATTCTTAAAATAGGACTGAAGTTGAAGATCACTTAGAAATGGCTGAATTGCTGAATTGACTTGTGTTACCATAATGATGTTACACTACTATTGCAAGGTCTGCATTGGTGGCTTAATGCATTTCAAATTGCTGGCTTTCATTTACAAGCTTTTTAAGACTTGGCATCTAGTGCCTTCAGGACTATCTTCTCCAACCAGAGTTGACCCATCTAATGCAATATTCGTGAGAGCAGCTTCTGGTTGATGCCCATAGTTTCATAAGATTGCTTTCTAATAGGAACAGTAATAACTGTACAGGTAGTCTTTGACTTACAATCATTCGTTCAATGACAATTCAAAGTTAGGGTGTCACAGAATGAAGAGACTTACTATTTAACTCTATAATTATGACGTTTTACAAACCCCACAGTCATGTGATCAAAATTTGAGCCTTAGTAGTCTGGCCTCATTTAAGACCATAGGAGTGCTTCAACTACTTCCACCCACCTATCTCCCTCTCAGCTGTGTCCTTTTTGGTCCCTGGCCTTGGCTGTCTCCTTTCTCCTGTTGCTGACCAAGCATGTCTGGTCTGGCCCTTTGCAAGGTAGCTGCTGCTGCAAGAGACTTTATTCCTCAGGTTATGTGTGGCCATTTCCTCACAAGCCTTAGAGAATATGGCCTCACATCATTTGCAGCTTCTTACAAAGGACCGGGCCAGGCACACCTCATCAGCAGAAGGACCAAGAAGATGGTGAAGGTTTGCTGGCTCAGTGGAGTGCAACGTGGTAGGAGCCTCAGAGTGCATGGTGGCGAGGGTGACTGTATCTAGGACTGGGGTGTTTGTGACTTCCCGGGACAGCAAGAAGCTGGGCTGGACTGGGGCTGGACTCTGTGGTAAGCTGTAGCTCAGGGCTTCTTGCAATCTCAGAGCTACAACACTCCAGTAAACCCCTTTGTGCTGCGGTGCTAGCCTGGCCGTGCACTGGGCGTCACATTGCACTGTGATTCAGGGGCTTCTTGCAGCTTCAGGGCGGCAGTATGCCAAAAAGCTCTTTGTACTCTTTCCTTGGTCTTTCCCTGTGCTTGCATGCATGCGTTCTGCACATTCTTTCCTTCATCTCCTTGGCTCGTGGTGTACTGACCCCCCAGCTTATGTGAGGCCTGTACCAGACCACCCAGGTCAGGAGTAGGCAAACCAAAACACTCAAAGAGCCACTTGGACCCGTTTCCCACCGAAAACAAAACATTGGGAGCCGCAAAACCCTTTTGATATCTAAAATGAAGATAACACTGCATATATCCTTTTTTACCTTTATTATAGATGTGTGTGTGTACACATACATACATACACATACATATACATACATACACACATAAATATATACACACAAACACATATATATATATACATATACACACACACACACACACCTATAATGAAGGTAAAAAGGATATATGCAGTGTTATCTTCATTTTAGATGTCAAAAGGGTCTCTCTCTGTCTCTCTTTCCCTCCCTCCCTCCCTCTCCCTCTTTCTTTTTTTCTTTCTCTCTTTCCTTTCCCCCCCCTCTCTCTTTCCTCTTCCCCTCTCTCTCTCTCTCTCTCTCTCTCTCTCTCTCTCTTTCTCTCTCTCTTTCTCTCTCTCTTTCTCTCTCTCCCTCTCTCTGATCTTCTGCTCAACTGGCAAGCTGGCTTCAAGCAGTTCTCCAACAAGCTCAGGAGTAGGCAACCTTGCCTCTTTTATGACTCATGGATTTCAACTCCCAGAATTCCTGAGTCAGCATAGCTGGGCTAGCTAGCTCTCTCCTGCCCTTCCTGCTTCCTGCAGAGGGAGGAGGGAGGAGCCAAGGGAGGAGCCCCGCTCAAATAGGCTTTTCAGCTCGTCGGAGAATACCGTGAGTCCACTCTTTTTTACACAGAGAGAGAGAGAGAGAGAGAGAGAGAGAGAGAGAGAGAGAGAGAGAGAGAGAGAGAGAGAGAGAGAGAGCAAGTGCCTCTCTCTGTCTCTGTCTTTCTCTGCAAATGGCAGAGGAGGCTGAGGGCCACAGGGGAAGGCTCAAAGAGCCACATGCGGTTCCAGAGCCACAGGTTGCCGACCTGTGATCCAGGCCTTCCCGCACTCCCTTGCAACACCTCCACTCCTTACCTGGGACTCCCTTCGCTTCCTGATCCATTTATCAGTTGCAGTGGCAATAGGGACTGTTGATTCTAAGTGATGTTGGACATATGATGTTGGGCTTTACAACCACATTGCTTAGTGACAGAAATTCCCATCCCAATTATGGTCGGAACTTGAGGAATACCTGTAGTGTTTCAGAATAGCCTCCTTTTTGAGGCTAGATTATGCTCCTCTGTTATAACCTTTTGGGAGCTAGTTAATACTAAATCAATCTGATGGGTTTTAGGGGAATAATTGGGATGTTGCCATTGTATGGGTGAGTTTCTAATTTTGTGTTGATTTACTGTGGATGTTTTAATTGTTATGTTATATATTTTGTTGTTCCACCAACCACTAACAGTTCTTGTGATACAAGGATATCAGTCTGATAAATGAGTAATAAAAGAACAGATTACTTCCTCTCTGCTGTTGCTCACCATTCTGTGGTGTAATTGATGATCTCTTTCTCTATATATAAAGCCTGAAGAAGCGTGAATGTGTGATCCAGCTCTTATATTATTTTCCCCGTCCCCCTTCCTATCTAGTTTCCAAATTTATTCATCTGTCATTCAGAATTTTGGAGTTTTATTTATGTCTTGTGCTTGAGATACGAAATTATGCGGATTTTATCTGGAGAATTGGTTTTCAAGTTGGGGAAAAAAATAGGCACGGATTAGGATAGACAGGAATGAAATTCCAATTTATAATAATTTATTCAAAATTATTAGTAAATAGCAATCAAGTAATCATTATATGGAGTACAAAGAAAAGTAAAAGATTCCTTTTCAGCCTACATTTTTTAAACTAGGACTTCCAATATTTGGTCATTTTCTATACTTTAAATTGGGTTATAATAATAGGAAATACATACACCATAAAAACTACCGCTTTTATTCTCATGTGTCACCTCTTTCATTCCACTTATATATCATTTTTGATCCCACCCTGTGGGAGAAGGAGGTCAAATTCTCTTTTCATTAATATTCTAAGTATTAAGGGGAAGAGGAAAAGCAATTATGTCTCAAACCCTGAGGCAATTTTGTATCAGCAGGAAACTCAATATGCAGATTTTTGTTTCATAGTAGATTTAATTGATTATACCAACCCTACCTCTCAAAATATGTTGAAGAAGAAATAAGATAATGATTACTTTCCCTCCCCCCCAAAATCCAGTTAATAACCAAGTCAAATATTGTGTTATAAAACAAAGTTTTTTCAGACTTTTGAACTTCTGTATTCTGCTTTTGAAATTTAGGGGTGATTAAAAAACAAATTGTGAGAGCTCAAAACATATTGCAAATAACTATCTGAAAATATTCCATATATTTTTCTCACTCTCATGACAGAAACATGAAATATCTGTAATCTCCTTAAAGCAAGGGTCTTCAAACTTGGCCCTTTTATGACTTGTGGACTTCAATTCCCAGAATTCCTCAGCCACACACTGGCTGAGGAATTGTGGGAGTTGAAGTCCACAAGTCATAAAAGGGCCACGTTTGAAGACCTGTAGCTTAAAGTAATATATTTTACAGTAAAATTGTATTTATTACTGCATTGTATGCTTTATATTGAATTTATTTATTTTAAAGGTTTATAAATTTCATCATTTTATGTTAAATAGCATACAGTTTAGAATGGAGCTCTGTTTACTCCACTAGTCACCTGCTTCCAGTTTGACACAGAGCTACTGTGTGTTTGTTCAGTCAGCTGTGTATCTTTCTAATTGTAGTACAAGGCACCCCGCATTTTGCCACTTTCACTCTTAGATCTTGTGTGCTAAGGGCATATAAGAGCAAGAAAGCTGTAGTGGGGTTTTTTTTTTTTTTTTTAGTCATGAAGAAATCCTATTTATTCTGAGTCTGGAAAAAGAATAGTACTTAAATTTAGATGTGATCATTTTTATTGGAATATCAAATTACAATAATTCATTCTCTGTTCAATATGTTTCATTTATCTTTCTTGTAAACTCTTCTGCCCTTTGCAACATAACAGATTTCAGTCTAAAACATCTGATCCTAGGTGCTGGAAAGCTTTAAAATCATGGATTATAGTTTGTTGCTTGGCATCCACATCTTGGACAGCTCAGCAAAAGAGAGAGAGGGGGAGTTTTCTCAAAACACCTCTGATCCTAAACGCCCAGGAGGACAAAAAGTTCTTTATTCAACTGCTATGGAATCCATTCAAGGTCCAGGAAAATCAGGGGACTGTGTCATCACAGAAAATACCAATACGTAAGTCTCTCAAAACCAGCCCTTTGAAAACAAAAAGTTACTGGATGTTTTTACGTTTTTCTTCTGTTCTGTGTACCACACTTAAAAGTGGGTCAGACCATCCTTCAGTTGATGAACAATAAAAGATAAAGACAAATGGACTTTAAAAAAAAATGTTGCATGTGTACTGCTAAGAAGTATAGTACAGAGCAGATCACTTCAGCCTGTGACGCAATTGGTGGCAAAGTGTCAGGATCCCAGATAATTAGACCATGGGCTCTTAGGTCATCACCACTTCATCCCCGAAAGAGTTGGGTCCCAAAGCGATTGATTTATCCATGTACTTTATGTATACAAAATCACAGAAATACATCCTTAAATGCCTAGTATTATTAGAGCTGTGGCACAGCTGTTTGGGAAAAAAAATACACCAGGGGAAGGGATAATCTTAATTGTCAGACGTGGAGAAAAGTAGTAAAACTGAAGACGGAAAGAGACTTGCTTAAATCCATTTTTGACGATCGTATAGCCCCTACCATATGGTGCAAACCTTTTCACTACATATCTTAAGAAGGTCATTTTTAGCTGTTAATATATTTCTATGGTTACTTTAGAAAAGAGGCCTTACAATGACTTGTTATTATTTTGTTGTTTCTGTCAGAATGGGAGGCATTCCAGCTAAAAGCTACAGAGGAGAAAAACTACTGCTATTTATGGGCATAATTGATATCTTGCAGTCTTACAGGTAAATTTAAAATAATATTCATTGCTTTCTGTGCCAGGATTTAGTTAAAGTGGTATTATTGCAAGGAGAGGGATAATTGTTTATTAAACTTTTTGTGGTGTATCGTCATCAGGTTAATAAAGAAGTTGGAGCATTCTTGGAAAGCCCTCGTTTATGATGGAGTAAGTCATTTCAATGGTTTTTAGAATTATGTCAGTTGTTCATGTAAGGTGGAAAACTCCTTTTTTTGTCTCTGTTCTGTTTAGCAATAAGAGCTGCATCTATTTTGTGCATAGAGCTTTGCCATCGCTAAACAACAACATCTAGAATGTCTTTTTATTTTGGGTGTGTCAGAAACTAACAGAAGAAAATAACAACAGAGTTGGAAGGGACCTTGGAGGTCTTCTAGTCCAACCCCCTGCTCAAGCAGGAGACCCTATACCATTTCAGACGAATGGCTGTCCAATCTCTTCTTAAAAACCTCCAGTAATGGAGCATCCACAACTTCTAGAAAAAAGCCACTTTAGTAACTTTCTAGGGTTTACTGAATATGTGTTTGTTTGTTTGTTTGTTTGTTTGTGATTTAAGAAAATATCCTTCAAATTGCTTTTGTAATTTTTTTTTTAAATGGCTGCAGTATTCTCTAAGTATTATGCTACTTGATAAATTAATGGTATGCTAAAAATTTGCCAGTGAAAAGAAAACACTAAATTTTAGCTTCATGTTCTTTTGTTCTGTAGATTATAAATCCCCTCCTCTTTTCTTACTGACAAAGTTTTTTTTGTTTCTTTGTAGGATACAGTTTCAGTCCACCGACCAAGTTTTTATGCTGACAGGTTTTTAAAGTTTATGAGTACCAGAGTATTCAAAAAAAATCAGAGTAGGTACCATCATATTATGAACTAACTAAAGCCACTCTTAACTTTATCTTTTTTTCTAGAGGGCCCCCACTTGCGTGATTACTTAATCTCTGAGGTTGGACTGTCAGTATAGAATAAAATACAAGTACTATAGGCTGATGTGGTAAACTGCTACCATAGCCGTTGGCAAAAGGCCTCTGATGGTAGCTTCTTGGAAACTCCTGTTTGCTTGTTGCAAGATAAAATAGACCTTGGATTAGATGGAGCTTTGTTCTGATTAACGGGGTTCCTAAATTATATACTTAAGTTCCAGATGATGGTGTTTTCTGTTGCTCAAGTTTATAATTTCAAATTTGTAATTGTGTAAGCCTTAGGAGGGCAGTTCTGGATTATTAAACTATTCAGGACCACTGAAAATTCTTCCATTAATTTTCAAGACTTAGAGAAAACCAGGAGCTAATTAGAGTTGGTCTTCTGGGCAGTAGGTAGACAGAGATGTTTCAACAAATGATTGCCCAGCTACTGAACAGTAAGACAGATCAAAATAAAACTCAGCCACTTCAGCAGAGGTACTTATGGGTTGCAAATAAAATGTCCTTTTTGAAAGACCTATGGAACGAAGCTGGATGATGAAAACTGGAACGAAAGGAAGCATGCACCCAAGTTAATGTCATCAACTGAATGATATGTATAAATGTTTTGGGGGAAGTCAGTTCACCCTGTGGAACACACTGGAATTCTAGAATTCCTCTAAGTCACTGAAGATACATAATTCTAAGTAGTTGGACTACACACAGTCCCTTATATCTTGATTCTAGTATTTTGCAGCTGTATTTTCTTTAGTATTCTGATTATAGCATTTTGAAAGTTTGCGGTTAGAGAATTAATAGTGTGTAAACTTATTGTCAAAGCAAAAATATCTGATGTTAGCAGCGTTGACAGAGTTTCATCTGTTGGAACCATGACACTTATTTACAAATCTTGTAAAAATAGATGCTTATAATAGATATAGATATAGATGCTTATAATATTCAATGTAAGGGATATTATAAAATGTGGAAAACATTCTTGATTGTCTTTGAGATTGTTTACACACTGCACTGCATACAAGACACTATAAGAATTATCCTTAAATTCTAATGGATCCCTATGTTACTCCATGATGATTATGTGATGATATGGGCAGATATTATTCTAGTCAGACTGATAACGGAAAATAATCTCGTTCCCGCCATATCTCTGCCCTGTCTTTAATGGAGGAACATGCTTTTGAACTTAGCCTTTCTTCATTAAGCAGGAGATAAAGGTTGCCTGGGTTAAGGTTGGGCTCAAGGTCTTGTCAATATCCCTTAACATTCATTGGGCCACTCTATCCAGAGAAGCTGCACTGGTCAACCTTGTCAACCAGTACAGATACTTAGATGCAGATAACATTTCCTATTTACACAGGAACAGATGAATCCTTAAATCTCATTATAGAAAAGAAAATTGTAGTGCATCACATTAAATTACACACTGAAGTTCTTAACTCATTTTGGCTATCCCAAAAAGTGAACTAAGATTGAATTTTACTTTGGATTATACTTTGAATCTGTTTTTTCCCTTACAACATTATGTGCAAAAAAAATTTTTTTTGTCTGTACTGCCATAAAGTTGTTTCTCTTGTCCCAGATACAAAAATTGAACAAATGCTATTCATTGTTATAACTTATACTTAGCCTCTTAGTAACTCCTTGCCATTTTAAAGTTGAGTTCAAGTTTTATTAACCTATAACTAAAAGCTGCTATTTCTCAGATTTATACTGGCACATTCTCTGGATTTTTTCTGAAGACAAATGATTGTGTCATATTTATGATAATGGCAGTTATTTGAGCAATCTGTTCAAGCCTCTTTTGGGATATTCAGGGAAAGGAAGTATTTGCATAATAATGGAAAGTTGGCTATAAAAACAATCTATGTTTACATTACTTTCATTATCTCCCTTCTAAAACCCCAGTTTTGAAGTCATCTCCTTCCAAGAAACGATGCAATTCTATTGCTGCTCTAAAAGCTACATCACAAGAATATGTGTCAGTAGTTAGCCAAGACTGGAAAGATGAAAAGCATGATTTACTCACAGAAGGACAAAGTTACTATAGCCTTGATGAAGAAGGTAATTTTCAGTAGAATAAGATGCTCTAGATTCCAAAGCTAGCATTTGCCAAAAGGAAAAAGTGATAGTTTTAGAACAGGGGTGCACATTCTGGTATTCCAGAAGAATAGTAAACAACGCAACTCCCTAATTCCCTACATATGGACCTCCAGACTCCCTTCAAAAGCTGTCAGATTGATTTTAAGACTTCCGAAAAATAATATTAATTGTATTTAATTATATTTGCGTTTAATCAAATTACATTAAATTCAGCGTTTTAGGCTAGACTTGCACAGTGCTCTCAAATGAGCCCCCTGCTATGTCAACCAAAACTCTAATGCAATCCTTGACCTGAAATAATTGTACACTTATCATTTAAACAAAAGGAAAAAAAATGTTTTAAGCTTTTCTGAAGATAATAGATAATAATAGCAGATTACCTAACCCTCCCCCCCAACTTAATATGCATTAAGATTGAGCATTATCTTAAATCAAGATCTTTGGTTCAAAGGCAGAATGCAATAAGGGATTTAAAAGAAGGAAGGCACACCCAGTCACAATATTCACCCATAACTTTATAAACCCCTATTTAATGAAGCTATGGATGATCACACAAACACAGCCTTTCGGTATCTCGTTTGTGTGTTTTCACGGCAAATAAGCCCTTGATTTTTACATACACTAATTTGACTTTTTCCCCCCCTTTTTTTCGTATACAGTATTAGCCTCCCGACATCATCCAGATTTAGTGCCAAGCACAGCATCTCTGTTTGAAGCTGCTTCTTTAGCAACCACAATTTCTTCCTCCTCTCTCTACGTAGATGACCCTTATCAACATGATGGAACTAGGTTTTATTCTAACAGGTAACCTGAATATTCACTTTTTTACTACAATATGGAAGGATGGATTAAGTTTCTCCTTACCTTGCTAGGATCCCAATCAAATTACAGGTAGTCCTTGGTTTACAACCATTTGTTTAGTGCCCATTTGAAGTTACAACAGCACTGAAAAAAGTGACTTATGACTGTTTTTCACATTTATGACCATTGCAGCATCCCCCTGGTCAGGTGATCAAAATTTGACTGCTTGGCAACTGGCATGTATTTATGATGGCTGCAGTGTCCCAGGGTCATGGGATCACCTTTTACAACCTTCTGAACAGCAAAGCCAAATTCACTTAACAACCATGTTACTACCATAACAACTGCAGTGATTCACTTAACAACTGTGGCAAGAAAGTTTGCAAAATGGGGCAAAACTCACTTAGCAACTGTCTTGCTTAGCAACAGAAATGTTGAGCTCAGTTGTGTTCGTAAGTCGAGGACTACCTGTAGCTCTCATACTTTTCTCCTAGCAATCTAGACTGGAAACAGTTAATCCAAAGAATTAGTTTCTCAGAATCTGATTAATAGTTTTTATTAAAGGTCTAAGGTTACAACTCAAATGCTCCAGCAAGCACTACTCTTTCAGATGGCAAACTTTTAAGCAATCTATTGCTGCAAAACTGATTTGTTTGTTTGTGCATTCTAGGTGCAAATGAGATGAGGCATGTCTGTTTTGGTAATGTGATAGAATATGTATCTGCTGATAGTTTTGGTAATAGCTGCTAGATTTCTTATTCTCACACCGGCTTTTTAAACTCTGTAACACCTCAATCAGTGCAGATGTTGGTCCTCTCTGGGCTATTTGGAACATTATTTAAACCAGTGGTTCTCAACCTGTGGGTCGGGACCCCATTTGGGGACGAACGACCATTTCACGAGGGTTGCCAAACAACGCAGTCCGCCATTTTTTTCCCCTTTTCCTTAGCTGTGCTACTCCCTTTTATTCTATTGGCTTTTGAAAGCCAGTAGAATAGACTCTCTTGAATAGAGTCTAATTCTATTGGCTTTCAAAAGCCAACAGGAATTGTCCAGGCTGTCTCTGCCCTGCTGAGCCCGCCAAAAGTCCCATTCTGCAAATGATGCTGCACCAGTTGAGTAGTCCTCGATTTACAACCGGTTGATTAGTCCTCGATTTACGACCGGTTGGGGGCCGCAGCATTAAAAAGGTTGAGAACCACTGATTTAAACTAATCCCCACAAGTTCAAGGTATTTTTTTTCCAAATAAGTGTGCATAATACTTGCAGCCTGTGTTTTATTTTGCGCCCTGTATTGGTTAGTATCAAGTTCCCATTTTTTTCTCCTCTGTCTAGCTATTGTGCAAAGGGCTTCAGAAATCCCCTAAACTGAAAGTTAAATTTAGCCGTTATTATCAGAATAGAAAATAATTAAATAAAAAAAAGAATTGGTTGTTTATGTAAATTCTACTTGGGAACCAAGAACATTTTGCTCCATACTTTTCCTGTTCTATCGTGTGGTTCGCTGGTTGAAATGTTTAAACATTTTGGCATTTCTTGAAGTAACTGAAAACTCCGTTATCCATTTTTCCCTCTTTTCAATTTAGCTGAAGGTACTTAGAAAGTTTTGGTGTCTCATGTCAGGGTCGTCTTCAGTGACTTGAAACCTATTAAGCTGCTATGTATCCCTATTGAGAGATGAACTAACATCAGTGCCAATCTTTATCTGCTTTCATTTAAACTTGTTCTTCTAAATGCAGCAAGAATTTCTGGAAAGCTGCCTTTGAAAAGAAACAACAGTGTTAGTTTTGGATAAGGAAAAGTGGTCCAAATAAATGATATATATTAAACTATATTATTGACTTTAAAGTGAAAACTGTCTTATACTACATAATATATTATATATTACCAACATAAAATATAAAATCATATATTATATATTACCAACATAAAATAAAATATATGTAGTTAAACCCTTCTGAAGAAGCTTGGTAGAGAATAACTTCATAACTGTAACTTGTTTTCTTTATCTCACCATTTTTTTCTGAAAAAGAGGTCAACTCAAGGCAGCAAACATCATACAAACTTCTGTTTATTTCTCACAGTGGACATCTTGGCTGGTTGTTTTCACAATCAGAATTATTTTTCTTTTGTATAAAGATGGTGATGACATTCTGCCATCTATGGTAGGCAGAAACGTGGAATAATTATAATAATTCTCATCTGTTGTCTCTGTTAGTTAAAGCTGTCATTTTAAATTAAATAAAAGGAGAAATTAGAAATGGCATATATATAGAGAGAGGAATGGTGCAATGGCTCAGTCGGGCTTGTCAGTGCCACATGATGAGGTGAGTTCCCATTACTTGCCCCAGCTCCTGACATCCTAGCACAGTGGTTCTCAACCTGTGGGTCGGGACCCCATTTGGGGTCGAACGACCATTTCACGGGGGTCGCCAAACAACGCAGTCTGCCATTTTTTTCCCCTTTTCCTTAGCTGTGCTACTCCCTTTTATTCTATTGGCTTTTGAAAGCCAATAGAATAGACTCTCTTGAATAGAGTCTAATTCTATTGGCTTTCAAAAGCCAACAGGAATTGTCCAGGCTGTCTCTGCCCTGCTGAGCCCGCCAAAAGTCCCATTCTGCAAACGGTGCTGCACCGGTTCAGTAGTCCTCAACTTACGACCGGTTGAGTAGTCCTTGACTTACGACCGGTTGGGGTCGCGGTATTAAAAAGGTTGAGAACCACTGTCCTAGTAGTTCAAAAGCTTGCAAATGCGAGTAGATTTGGTGGGAAGATAACAGTGCTGTGGCATGATGTCAAGCTGGCCACATGACCATGGAAACATCTTCAGATAGGTCTGGCTCAATGGCCTAGAAACGGAGATGAGCACTGCCCTCTGAAGACTAGCGGAGGACTCCTTTACCTTTTACCTATATAAAGAGAGAATAATTAATTAATTATTACTGTATTTCCCGTAGCATGAACAGGGTCTCTATAACAGCTACTGTGGGGGTTTCACTCCTGACAGCAAGCTGAGATGACAGTCAAGCAAAGTGCCCAGAAAAGATAGTCACGCATTTGGGAGGGCTAGATGCAACATTTTGAGTGGGCCCTTGCTTCAATATCACAGTAGGTGACAGAACCAAGGAAGCTGATTTAATCTGGAAAAATGAAATACTTGGCCTTGTTTATTATTGGAATAGGAAGCCCATAGGATAATTCCCAGTCTGCAGACTACATTGGGAAATAAAAAACAGTATTTCCATATTATTGCCAAGATCACAACTTTGGTACCTCATGTAATCATAAGAATAATTATTTTGCATTCCAGAAAGCGAAAAGTTCTAACCAAATACCATTTGAGCTTATCTCTAAGCTTGTTGCCCTGGAATCTTGCTATTTTGTGGGTTCTTACAGAAATGCCTGCATATAGAAGGAATAAATCTATGAATAAGTCATAACCCCACTTCAGCACTCTGTTGCCAAACTTAAAGATTTGTAAAGTATTTTTTTTATTACAAAAGAACAAAAGTTGGTGTTAGATTTTAATTACCTTCTCCAGGAATTATATAACAGGTTTTTTTAAAAAAAAATATTAGTTTAGTTCTATATAAAATCTTGGTATAAAATCCCGCATATGTATTTTCTGTGGAATTACTGAAGCAAATCTTCTTAACATTTCTCCGTGTTAACCCCCTGTATTACATTAGGAATTCTTTAATGCAATTCTAACTTTCAGGGTGCAAAAATTCCATTTTAATATGCAAAACCTGCCACAGTTATGAATGTGCATCCGATTTGAACAAGATCCAAATATAAAACCACAAAGCCTCAGACATAATTGAATCTTGAAAAAGCAAAGCAAAAGAGCAGTTTCTAAAGTTTCAGATCTATAACAGTGATCTGTGTTGCTGTCATCTGGGTAAAAAGAAGCTACGTTCTGAAAATTCCGGATTTGCTTACCCCCCCCCCCCCCAGGCAAATATCTTTGGTGGTCTTTGTTAGGGGAAGAATTGTCCTTCACCCTACATTTCTAGAGGCTCAAGTTTATTTCCCAGCTTTTATAGCTAAATTGAACAGTCCTGTGCATACTAGCATCAGTTGTCACATAGACATTCATGAAGATTGAGAAAGTAGAAAAAGCAAAGCTGTGTCTTGGATCCAAAGTCAAACAAGCCCAAACTTGTACAGTTCCACCCAAAGTGTGTCTTTCTAGCCAAAGTGGGGATGCAGAATTATTTTCTCCTCCTACTACACTCCTAAGGGGATTATAAAGTTAAAGAACTTGATTAGCATTTTATCTACTGAAACTGGAGTTTCTTTCACTAAAGAAATTAATTAAATCGAGATAAATGCTGATGCATTTATTTTTCTCTGGCCCCACATTGATTTTCACAGTGTGGGAGGGTTCTTCAGTATTCTTCGTGCTTAAAAAGGTTTGATACCACTATTAACTGATAAATAATAGAAATTCTTGCAACTTAACAAATGTTTTATCATTTTCAGTTAAAACCCATAATTTTTAAAATAGAAAATTTTAGAAATGTTAAATACAATACAATACAATTATTAAGTTTAAAAAATTGTATAGTATAATGAATGATCAGTTACTTTGAATAAAAGGATAATTGCTGCAATCAGTTGCTCATTCTAGATCGTTTTGTGTAGATTCTCAAAACTGTCAACGGGGCATCAAGAGAATGCTTATGCTAACTTTTCTGGACCAGTTCTTGATACAAGGAATGCCAAACTCGCAATGTAGAATACGGGTGTCAAACTCGCCGCATCACGTGATGTGTTGCGATGAGCAACATAGAACATGAGAAGTGTTCTAGCTCTGGAATTCCTGTGCATTAATTTACTGAACCAATGTGTTTAGATATATTCCTTAATCAAAGTAGCTGGTATGAGCTGAAAGTAGGTACTTAACAGAAGCAACAGCAACTATATCAAGGCTCTTGCAAGGTATTTTTTTCAAATATTTAAGCCATCAGAAAGATGTTCAAACAGCTTTAGCATTCTG